GGCCTCTGGTCACAACAGGGGAGCTTCTCTCACAGGTTATTTTGGAGGGCATCTCGCCTTTTCAACAGCTCCTGGAGTGGAGTTCTGCAACCATCCTCTGCTACCATTCTGTGGAAATTGGGATCGTAGAAACACCCAGGAGCATAGAAGAGTCCAAAGGCAGATGCATGAATAAATGTGATAAATGTATTTATTCATATATCAAAGTATATTAACTATGTACAAAGGCTGTCTTAATATCCATTAGGATAGGGGGCACACAGCGTGTGTGACCACCCCTATCAAAGATCATGTCTCATGGAGAACAAACGTAAAAGAGAGCATGGTGGAGAGGTTAGAGGGGGTTTTATACTCAGTGTAAGCCCCTCCTCTCCACATAGAGGTGGGGGCACTTTCTGCCTCCACTAGTGTCTGTATGATATATGTGCCAATGGCTTGCAAATACTTGACACAAACACTTCTGTGCTTAAATAATTTTTTTTTTATTGAAAAGTTTTATAAGAAATACAAACAATTTTCTCCCCCCCACATAATAGAAAATGTACATTTTCTTATACATAATAAATCCTACATATACATGTTTTCCTTAAAGAAAGCATTAAAATAAGGCATTTTAATTACATTCGGAGTTGCTCTTCTTCTCTTTCTTCCCTCATTCCACAACAAACCTTCTTCTTCTCCTCCTTTCTTTCCCTTCCCTCCCTCCTCTCCTCTCCTACTTTCTCCTTCCTCCTCTCCTACCTCATCCTACTTCCTTTTCCTTTCCCCCACTTCTCTCTTCTTTTCCCCCTTCTCACCTTCTCTCCTACTCCTGTCCCCTTCCCTTCCTCCTCTCCTTTCTTCCATTCCTCTCCCTCCCTCGCCTCTTCCTACCCTCTCCTCCTCTCTCCTTTCTATCTTCTTTGCTGTGGAATATTCTCCTCCTTTGATATCTGAGCAACTCCTGTATTCTAATTGTGGATACTTTCTTTCAGTTTCTTTTCAGATTTATTCTATCTATCTGCATTATCATCATAATTGTACATTTATTCTTATAATCTTCTAACTATCGGAATTTAATATTATCATTTCATTTATTATTACATTTCCCCCACATTTACTTTTCTATTAGAACATTTATCTATTCAACACTTTTATCCCAACCCAACCTTTGTCCCTCCCTCCCCACCCCCTCACCCCCGACTTCCCAGGGCAAAAACAGGGTATTACATTTAACAAGTATAAGCTAAAATATACTAACTAACTACAAAGTTCAAAATACCCTCACACTCTTTAACTCCTCTTTTACAAATTCATCAACCTCCCTTTTATATCTTCCTAAATATAAAGACTTTTTCTTGATGTATAATCCAATAATTTTACAATATTACCAACATTAAAAATCATAGATAAGTTTCATTTCCCCACCCTCAAACACCATTCCTTTTCAGCATTACTCCCTAATAAAATTCTAAATTTAACATTTATCCTCTTTAATCCTTCATAAAATTGAACATTTTCAAACCTTAGACATTTTCTCTCATATACCTTTTAAGATACTATAATCTTATATTAAACATTTTAAAAATCTCTTAATACATCAATAAAACATTCTTAATTCATTTCACAATTAAATTTCAAAACCTACAGGAAGATATCCTTCAAATTTTCAATTAACCATTTTAATACTTCCATAACTTTTAAAAAGCAATCATTTTTATATCCAAAACTAATTATAAGAAAACACTTCCTTTATATCATTGTCTTAGAATAATTAGAATAACCTTTAAAAATACCAATTAATTAAAATTTTGAATTTATAATTTATTACTAAAATCCTCCCCCCCAAAAGAATTAATCTTCTATTCTTCCCTTCTTTCTATATTTTTTCCAATCCTCCTTCTTCAATAATTCTTTCAGCATTGCTCCTCCCCCTAATCTTCTCTTCAAAAATTTTTGAATTTTGATCTGAGGTTGATGTGTCTTGAAAGCTCGCTCTCTTCTTAAAATCATTTTCTCTGATTTAAGACCCCCATTTTGACTCTTCCTGCTTGTATAATCAATCATTTCATTCCTTTGTCTGTAAAGCCAAGAGTTGTTGCCAAAAAGTTTGTCAACTTGCAGTAAAGAGTCTACTTGTTGCTTTTCTTTTAATTGAGTGGAAGCGTCTGTTTCAACCTCCATTTCCAGCCTGACAGCGTCTTTGTCCTCCGAAATCAAAATCCTCTGTTTAAATTCCTCCTGTTTCTCAGCCAGCAAATCATTACAATTCTCCAAGCTACATTTTTGAAAAGCTCTTTCAATTGTTTCCAAAAGAGCAGAATTAAAAGAGTCTAATAGTTCTTGAAAAACCTTTACGGTCACAACTTGAGAATTTGCTGATTCACCAAACAGTGACTCTCCAGCCCAGATGTCAGCCATGTTTCAGTCTTCACTTTATATTTATCCAGCTATCAGGTCGACAAATCCAACTATTTTCCACACAGTATGAAGATATAAATTAATTGAGGTCAATACCAAATTCTTTTCCATGCCGCTTCCACTTTAAATCTTTTTCTTAGGGTACAATCCAGTAGCTGTATCAATGTTACAAGCGTTAACAAGCACTTTCACTAATAGCTTTTACTTACGCCCTTAGGTGCCATTTTCTGCATTTTTAAACAGAGTTAAAGTGTTACTTGCATTTTTTTCCTTCTTTTTTCTTCTGATTTGCTCTGCCAGCACTCCAAGCCCAAATTTAAAATTGTGTTGCTGGAATGGTCGCGGCTTCTAGCTCCACTTTAGCGGAGTCGTCCCAAGGTCCAGAGCAGATTGACAGGCTTCTAGGGAGCTCTCACCCTTTGTGCCCCAAAATTTCTCCTAGGGCGCTTGGGGGGCTCTACCTCCGCCTCTCCGCTCTTCTCTCTCCCCTTTGCCCAGGGAGAGGGTTTCCAAGCCCCAGACAGCTGTTTTTCAGCTGTTCTGGGGCTTTTACGGTGCCGAGGATCGGGCGCCCACAAAGGAGCATCAGCGAAGCTCACGGAGCCAACCGGAAGTCCTGTGCTTAAATAATTTTTTTGAATCAGAGTTTAGATTTACATGTACTGTATTCCTTAAAAGTCATATAAATCTTTTGCAATTAATACATCTGATGACAGCTTGACTTTCAGAAAATGAGAAGATATAATTGCATTGCTGTAGAAAGCAATGCAATTTATTGCATATTTTTTTAAAAGGATCTTATCCCGCTTTTTAGTAAGGGATCTTCTCTGAGATATTTAAGTGTAATCAGTAGCTTTACACAGACTTAAAACAGAAATGATGGGACAAAGATAGCACTTCCAGGAAACAATTCTTCAAGTTAAATACAGTTTGATACAGATGTTTTTAATTGACTAAATAAAAATAATCATAATTGCAAGATAATCAGTAGCAAAGAAAAGTGTACTGGAATAATGAGGGACCAGATCAATGCATATTTCTTCAAAAGATCAAGAAAGTTTTCTACCACATTTCCATTTAAGGATGTCAGTGGTATAAGGATCTAGGGTTATAACACTAGAAAAAGTACTCTAGGTCTAAATGATTATTGATAAAACTTTATCATGAGATTGATAAAACTTTATCATGAGATCAAGACAGCGCTGTGTTGAATTTTGTATAAAATAACATTTCATTTTCAAAGCAATTATAACCATCAAAGTACCATTTTTTTACTAGCATTTCTGGAGAACATTGATCTTCCAGAAAAATCAACTACCATATCTCAAAGCTTAGCAATTAATGTAGAAATCAAAGATTTTGCAAAAATATATTAAAAGGAAATGCAGTGTATGTGTATACATTACACTCAGATTATGATTGACCTCTTGGCGTCCTATGGAAACATTTCAATAATTTGCAACTACTTACTTGCCATGATAATAGGTTTTGTTAATATATTTGAGTCAATAGAAGAGAAACCAAGGTTGAATTTGATTGACTAAAGAAGCCATCCAAAAACATTGCTACTTCACTGTTATCTCAGTGAAGATGGCTTTGCTGAAGATACTTTGTAATCATGTTTTGTGGATGTCACTTGAAGCTACTCCAATAAACCTGTGTTAGAACATAATGGTTTAAGCTTAGTTTACTATATATGTGTAAAGCTATGTCTTTGCACAGTTTCTTTGCTTGCAATGCACCTTTAAATATGAGGGACAGAGGACATTCCAGATATCTAGTACAGAGAATGATATATAGCTAGGTGTGTGTGTGTGTGTGTGTGTGTGTGAGAGAGAGAGAGAGAGAGAGAGAGAGAGCGAGAGAGAGAGAGAGAGAGAGAGAGAGAGAGAGAGAGAGAGAGAGAGTATTCCTTTGGATTCATGGCAAAAAGAATGCTATTCTAAACATAAATACTTTATCCACATTCATTGTCTTCCTTCCTTCCTATCTTCAAATTGAATCAATTTACAAGACGTGAAGGAAAAAATAATAATACAATAATCACTCTCCTCAAGATGGCCACCACCATAAATATTTAATTCTGGTTTAAAGCATGTGGGATAGTCTTATTTTGGCTACTTTGAGATAAATGTTCAAATTGGAGGAGGGGGGAAGGTAGGTAAGGGAGGATGCTACATAAACCTTTAGGCAAGGAATTTTATTCTAGGCCACAACAGATCTATTATCTATTGCTAATGATAGGCTGAAAAATAAAATAAAATGTATAGTTTAAAGCAGTGGTCCCCAACCCCCGGTCCGCGGATCGGTGCCGGGCCGTGGAGTACCTGGCACCGGGCCGCGCAGCGGCCGGGGGACATGAACGCTGCAGCGCAAAGGCTCCTGGGCCGTGCGCAATGGGCCGTGCGCAAAAGCTCCTGGGCCGGGCCCCCACCCCTGCGCGCGCTCAGCGGGCCGCGGCGATAAAAAGGTTGGGGACCACTGGTTTAAAGCCAATGCTTTGCTATGGTATTACTTTTTCTCTATTTTTTTTTTTTTTTGTTAAAAACTGTTTTGTTGTTATTAAATGATCTTTCTTCTTTCCTTTATTGATATTGTAGGTCATTCCAGAAAAATGCTGCATTTTGAAATTTCTAAAGAAGGCAGTGAATTGTCAGTGGTGGCTCAGGCTGATGTATGGCTTTTCCTCAAAGTATCTAAAGGTAATCGTACCAGAACAAAAGTGACCATTCAACTACATCAGCAGCAGAAACTGCCTAAGGGCAGCTCTCAACTTGTGGAAGAGGAAAGTGGACGGAAGGGAGGAAAAAGTGAAATTCTCATTTCTGAAAAGGCGGTTGACACCCGTAAAAGTACCTGGCACATTTTCCCAGTTTCCAAAAGTGTTCAGGGTCTCTTGGATCAGAGAAGAAATTCCCTGGATGTGCGGGTTACTTGTGACCAGTGTCAAGAAACAGGAGCCAGCCTGGTGTTGATGGGAAAGAGGAAAAAAAAGGGAGAAGCTGTGGAAGGTAATGAAAGCACAGGAGAAGAGGAGAAAGAGCAATCACATAGGCCTTTCCTAATGATGCTGGCCAGGAATTCAGAAGATCGACACCACAGGCGGCGAAGGCGAGGCCTTGAGTGTGATGGAAAAGCCAACATTTGCTGCAAGAAGCACTTCTTTGTTAGCTTCAAAGACATTGGTTGGAATGACTGGATCATTGCCCCACAAGGCTACCATGCCAATTACTGTGAAGGTGATTGTCCTAGTCATATTGCAGGCACATCTAGTTCCACTCTCTCTTTCCACTCCACTGTTATCAACCATTACCGCATGAGAGGCCACAGTCCTTTCTCCAGCCTCAAGTCATGCTGTGTTCCTACCAAACTACGACCAATGTCTATGCTCTATTATGATGATGGGCAAAATATAATTAAAAAGGACATCCAGAATATGATTGTAGAAGAATGTGGGTGCTCATAGGTTGTGTGCATTTTGCATATCAACACTTTGGGACAGTCTTTTTAACAATTTCAAGACAATAATTTGAAATAAAATGTAACAGGAAAGACCAAATATTTAACAAAACAGTTACATTTTCAACATAATAGCATCTAGTATTCAAATTAGAGACAAACAGAAGAAAGAAGAATGACATTGTTTCTAGAGCATCAAGGCAATGCAATCTTTATATTCTCTATATTTTATTGCATGGTATTCCACACTTAGCAACAAGGGGAGATATCTTTCCCTACCCAATGTTACCTATGCATTCAAGCCTTGATAACAGCATAGCTAAAATAAAAAATTTGACTGTTAAATCCAAAATGTTATTAAAATTCTATAAAAGCCATGTGCATGAACACTACATTCACTGGCACTTTTATTCCCAGGAATTTACCAATGACACAATGAGTGTGCACATAGATGATTGTGGAGGTTTCTTATGGCAAACACATACAAAAAACACGTGTGTGTGTGTGTGTGTGTGTGTGTGTATACACACACACACACACACATATACACATACATATATATATACACACACACACAAACACATACACACACACATATGTATATGTAAAGGGGACAATTAATGCAGGTGTACTAACCTTTATTTTCTGCACTATTTTTGCAAAAAAGTTTTAAAAAAGTAGAAAAGAAAGAAAGAAAAAGAAAGAAAGAAAGAAAGAAAACACAAAGTTACATTTCATAAAGGTGCTTATGACATTAGAACTATGCAACCAAGTTGATTTGAAACTTTACCAGAGAGAGAGAGAGAGAGAGAGAGAGAGAGAGAGAGAGAGAGAGAAAGAAAGAAAAAAACCCAGACTTAAAAAATAATAATGGAAGTACCATTTAATTTTTTCTTCAATGAAAAATACTTGAAAGGAACGTATTTGTCCAGTTACTGGGCCAACATTTCTACATTTTGTAAAAATGAGGAAAAAAATTTTTTTAAAGAAAAAATATTGTTTACTATTTGCACTACAAACTATGTTCAACCTGTCTTCTATCCTTTATTTAACAAGTAATTTGGGGAGGGATTTGGTTGGGTTGGAAGGGAGTTGAAAGCTGCACTTATTGTGAGCTATATAAGAACTGCTACAGCACACAAAATAGTTATTTTTATTATAATATTTTATATCTTAAAAATGTACACCAAAGATGTTTGTGTGAGCCTCTAAACAATTTGTTTTAAACTAATGTTATCCATAGGTTAGGATTTGATTTAAGGATCACTAGTGAAACTGGTTGTATTCAAACTATGGTAGATGATTTCTCGATGAATCTGACCACCAGATAGGACAGATATTCATTTATAAAGCCCTTAAATTATCCAGGGAACTTTGAATTAAAAACTGAATTTTAGAATACTGCAGTTGTGAACCATATGTACAGCAGCTGTACATTACTGGAAAGCAACACAATAGAAAGGTGCAATCCATATTTGTATATGTATGTGTATATACAATTTAAGCATTTCAGGCTAGGCTTTTAATGCTCTTAAAAATAATGTTTGTGTGCCAAGCACAGTGTATTATTCCACCACCACCACCACCACCACCACCCCATTTAAAATTATACCACTCTGTATAAAACCTCCAATATAAACATAGACCAATGTGATCTTACATCTTTCTTCAGTGGTAAATTTAAATTTCAAGACAGCAGGACCCAGTAACTCTTGAATAGTTTAAATCTATGTAGCAATTAATGGACAGTGGATATGCATACTGATGATTACATATGTTCATTTGAAAGTGTGAAAAACAAGCGGAGAGAGGCAAATGAATAAGAATACTTGTGTATTGCCTGGTCTTCTTGCATAATTTCTGAATTATATTGGAGAAAATATCTTGATGGATAATGCCAGACAAGTAATTTGCTCATTGTCTTGCCAATGTATTATTCTCCACATAGGAACTATTTCATGCTCTGCCAATATACAAGATTTATGTGTCAGTAATTTGTAAAATGCCTCTGATCAGTCTGCCACCATCAGCAGGCATTGTAGATTACCAATTTTGGTCAATGCAGAATATTTGTCCAGATATCTAGTAATTGTAAATCCCAGAATTCCAGGCAGCATGCTCAAAAGCCTCTAAATAGGAGAAGTTTGAATAGAGAATGGGTGAAAATGCTACAATGAAGTGGAATTGCACATTTTTGTATGAATGCAGAGAGTAACTTATGCTAATGTATATTCATCAGGAAATTTACATTAAACCTGGTATGTGACAAAGTAAAAGAATTCTGTTAAGAGTAGTGTTTCCTATTACCAGTTTGGGATGGAATCTGGTTAGAAATTTGAATTTTGCCCTCTATCTGGTACTACTTAAATGCATTCCTTTTTAAGTACAGATAAAATCCATTTGTGCTGACAGGCCTAGTATCAAAGTACTTTCAAGGCAAAAAGGATAAGTCAGCAGTCCTGCCTTTTTTTGTTTGTTTGTTATCCAATATAGCTGTAATCCAATGTATGGAACTATTTTATCCAATGTATGGAACTTTATAGATATAAAGTTTATACATTGCCACTGTATAAATCTAAAAGCAATTAGAAAAAGATGATATTGCAAATCTTCATTCCTCGGGTGAAAAATCACAAATAGTAATAATAGTTTGTGACATTGATTGAGAAGTGATTGCCATAGTCAAGAAGGGATGTGGTTGAGAATCTCACATCATGAAGTCAAGATATGGGCTAGCTTGATTTCATGAAATCTCTTAGAAGGTGGTATGTGGAACAGAGAAATGAATCCTTTCTCTCATGCATTTTAGTAAAGCATCAAAATGATCATCCTTGCTGATAAGGAAAAGTTGCTGATAAGTATGAAATTTTATGTTGCATTGATGGTTGCTTCAAGCAGTGTGACAAGGTTATGAGTTTGTCTGAGCACTAGTATTTATATATCTGTATCAACAAGATAGAAAATAAAAGGGGAAAATGTTTTACCTCATTCAGTAAATATCAAAGTATTTACTTGGAGATAAATTTAATTTAATTTACAATATATATATAATTCATAACATAATTAGTGTGGTATACCCTTATGGAGGTTTTAAAACTTCCATGTATCCATTTTATAGAAAGAAAATACATTTCATATTTAAAATATGCACAGGTGTTTTTCCAAATAATACAAAAAGAAAATGTAAGTAAATTATTTGCTTATGTAATACTTTGCAGAAAAAAGAACATTCACTAGTGATTTTGGAAGACAACAAAATCTTAAAGGGGAAGTGTTTGAAGTGATGTAATTGGAAACACTCCGTTGACTGTAGAAGATATGTTTTTCTGGCCTGTTAGTTACATGTGGAGTGCCCATGGTTATCGGAAATTCCAGCTGTATAAAAGTGAAATTAAGCAGAGGTTATCTGTACTTTAAAGCTTTGACATTTGAAGCAGCTACATTTAGTCAAATATCTCCTTTTTCTGATACAACTGCAAATTTTCTAGACTAAACAAGCCTTTCATAATAAATTCTAGGATGTTTAAGTCATGTAAGCAGCTATAAGGAAATCAGCTCTCTAGGAATGAGGCACAATCTTATAAATGCATACTCTAATTACTAATTAAATTCAGTGCAACTTACCTTAAGATAAAAAGGTAAAAAGTTAGCAGAATAATAGAAGAGTCCTTACATGAAGAAAAATTAGAAAGGGAAGATGGGGAACTTACTAAATATAAAAGTATAATTGGTTTGTACTCATCTTGCCCTGAGCAAGTGACTTTCAGAAAAACCTGTAGCACAGGATGATTGTGAAATAAATGAAATTAGAAATGAAATTGTTTTAAAGGAGTAATTATAGTAACATCCATAGGACCACATCCAGTAGTAATAAACAGATCCTTTATTAGTTAATCATATGCTTATCATTATTGGCACGGACAACAGCACTGATGATTTCATGCTAGCCGAAAATAAGTGTATATTAATATTTTTGATGATATTTTCAGAAATCCAGTTCTATTTTTATTGAATGCAACTGCTCCATCCATCCTTCCTAGCTTGGTTTGATATTCAGATATATGTCTCTGTGATCTTTCAATCAATTCTAATCTATTTATCTACACTTTTCAAGTGGGTTGAGAAAAACAAGTTAACGAAGTGGCTTATAAAAACACACTGGAAAGAATGGGAGGTTTATAAATTAATGAACATGTATGTCTACCCGATTCCAATTGCATCCATATATATGTATACTTTACTTTGAAATCGCTTATTGTTTAACTTCTACAGTCATAGCTTTTTAACTTATAGCTATTTAAAGCATAAAGAAATAGATTAAATTGAATTGCTTCCTCAGAATAGAGATTGAAATTGCTATCCTATTTAACTAGTTTTTCAAGACTCTGCTACCTTGGCAAAAATATTTTAAGGTAAAAAATATAGATTAAGATCTTTTAAAAAGGACATTCATTTTCCTTAGCTACCTTTTTAAGAAAAAAAAAAAAAACTACCAGATGTTAATAAGAGGTTATGAAGGGATAAAACATTGGCCTGTGACTTTTGTAAGGTGCTGAATCTACCACATGTTCCTTTTTCTATCTTGCCTGGGCATTCTCTTGCTCTCATTTTAAGAGCTAAAAATGAAAAGTGTGGTTTTCACCAGCTATAGTTTAATATTAAGCATTACAAGGAAATAACTTTTTGTATCATTTTTCAGAATAAAAAGGGAGCATACCTGAGTCTTGACTATGCTAGAGCATGCTAGAGCATAGTCAAGACTCACTATCAATTAAATTGAAACTGAAATATTATTATTAGTATTTAAATTACACCTGGGTGTCAATCACAGAGCTCATTCAAATATGCCATTTCAAAATCAATAGAAACTTATTAGTTACCTATTATATTGGTATGTATTTTATTTAAAATCAATTTCATTTTTACTTTTAAATCCCTAGTCCACAAGTAATAAAGTCACTTTCTGATATTCTAAACTAACACTGAATTTCTATAATTTATAACTGATCAATATAAAACAGTCAAATTAAAACTCTTATGAATGACATATTTCCCTGAGCAAATGTAATCTACATTTCTATATATCTCACTATTTATTTTTTTAATGCAGAGGTTTTCATTGTTAATTTGCAACTGTTTAATTTTTTATTTAAACTTTTTAAATGATACATATCCCAACCCAATGAGAATTATCACTGTGTGGAATCTAGAATCTGTATGAAACTTGTCTCTTTGGAATTGGTTCTGCATGTAGAAAGTGCTGATAAGAAACAATGCAGTTAACCTCAAATACCTATCATAACAGTTTGGTAGCTTTCTCAGCTTCCATAACCTGTACAAGACTGATTATTAAATATTTCCCTCTTAATCTTTTCTCCAAGCTGTAAACTTAGAGCACTTAATGTTTTCTCCTTTGAGGCTAGACAGAAAGTTCCTTTCATATCAGGTAACATGGGATTCTACAGAGTTCTGAACTAAGGATATTATGTCTTGAGTGTGTGTCTATGTGCATGCCTGTGTGTATGTTAGTGTAAAATACATGCCCTCACACACACAAACAGACACACAAATCAACCTCTACATGTATACACATGAGTTATGACATTTTGTTGGAGTTGTTAATGTTTTATTGTTATTATTGGGTTACCTTTTTCGCATACTACATGCAGTGCTTTAACCAATGTCCATTTGGCTAATGTAATTAAAATTGTTAATTTATATGAGTACATTTCAACCATGTCATTGTTTTCTTAATATTTATTATGTAGATGAACTGGTATTTTTGCAGTATGTTTTAAGAAGTAACAGTTTGATATGTTCTTATTTGTGTTAGGATTTATTTATTTCATAGCATTCTGTCCAATATTTTATACCTGGAGGCATGCAATTTATACTTTGTACAGTTAGCAAGAAATTTTCATCAACTTCCAATAGTTTCATAAAATAAATAAAGGCTATCTTTTGAAAACAAATACATATTTGTATTTGATTTTCCTTTTATTTTTATTGGTTTGACTGAAATAATCCATGCACTCATTGTCAGACCAATAAATTTCCATTTTATTGTATGAAAAAAGAGGAAAAAATCTTGATCCAAATAAGATATTCTTCAAGCAAAACTAGATCAAGGCAGAGTTTGCTTCACTGAAAACGTTTGTGGCACAATGAAAAAGATTAAAAATGAAATACATACCCTTGTAATGTAAATAATTAAACTGTGGTAATGCTGGCATATTTAAGATGTTTAGGACAACAAATTTTATCCTTCTGTTTTAATTTCTTTTTCTTCTTTAAATTGTTAGCAAGTCAGCAAGTAGAATAAATAAAGGGAATTTCATTTGGCATGAATTGTCCAACTAATGTACAGTATAAACTAAAACAAAAATTAGCAAATACTTGAATATTTAAAAGGAGGGGAAATATTTGAAAAATCTCACTGGATTCCTTTTCATCTATCCACTAATTTAGATGTTCATTTGAAAAATATGCAGTCATTTCCATTTCCAGGTTGCAGAATCTTCAGTTTACTTTTCTCCAAGTTTTGAACATCTGCAATGGCATATATAACTGTTTCTGTATCAGAAACAGATATAACTGTTTCTGATACAGATATATCTGGGTTCTGCTTGTCTGCCATATCACTATTAAAGAGTAGTCTAATTTATTCAGTGGTGGGATTCAATATTTTTAACAATTGGTTCTGTGGGCGTGGCTTAGTTGGGGGTGTGGCTTGGTGGTCATGTGACCGGGTGGGCATGGCTAGCTGGTCATGTGACCGGTGGGCGTGGCTATCTGCATAGGGACTACAGAGGGCTGAAAAAAGTCATTTCTGACTGGTCCTCGCACTTTTGACCGGTCCTCGCACTTATGACCATCCTCACATTTATGCCCATTGCGGCTTTCTTAACAATCATGTCACTCATTTCACAACTGCTTCTCTTCACCATGGTGACAAGATAGGGCAAAAACATAAAATGTGAGGACAGTTGTAAGTTCAAGGACTGGTCAAAAGTGTGAGGACCAGTCAAAAATAACTTTTTCAGCCCTCTGAGTAGTCCATATGCACAAAAGGACTACCCAGAGGGCTGAAAAAAGTGATTTCTGACAGGTCCTCGCACTTTTGACTGGTCTTCGCACTTATGACTGGTCATCATTTATGCCCATTGTAGCATTCTTAACAACCGTGTCACTCATTTCACAACTGCTTGTCTTCACCATGGTGACAAGATAGGGCAAAAACGTAAAATGTGAGGACAGTCGTAAGTTCGAGGACTGGTCAAAAGTGCGAGGACCAGTCAGAAATAATTTTTTCAGCCCTCTGAGTAGTCCATATGCATAAAAGGATACAGCAATAGAGAGGGATGAAGGAAGGGAAGGGAAATTAGAGTAGGAGTGAGGGTAAGAGAAGGAGGAAGAGAGGAGGAGAAGGAGAAAGGAAGAGGAAGTAGGGAGGAGAAGAAGAAGGGGAGGAAGAGAAAGTAAGAAGGAAAGAAAGAGAGAGGTGGTAGGTTTGAGGAGAAAGATTGCTGTACAATAAAAAAGATGAAAGAGAAGAAAGCCAATCCCAAACAAATATAAAAATATTAAAGAATGAATTGTTAAACTTTAAAGAATAAAAGAGAACAAATATGAATAAATAACAATAATTAGAAACACACATACAAACATACAATGTATTTTCTTTGAACAAAGTATTTGGCCGGTTCACAAATTTAAACAGTGTTTAGTCATTTCAATTAAATTTACAATTTCTATATTTCCTTTTTGCCATATTTATTCCTCATCTATTTTTGTAAAAAACCAATATTACCCTTCATCTTCATCTCTAATCTTAATCAAATTCAATTTTTCCCTTCTATTCTATATTATACCCCTTCCCATTGTCATCTATTTTTATATCCATCCTCACATTGGTTAATTATGTAATATTACAGTTGTTTAATATAAATTCGACATTTTAATATAAATCAATTAGTTATATAACTACCTGTTTTGTATATTAATCAATATGAACATGAATATTCCAATTATTTCCATGCAATCCAGTTTCTTACAAATCAATTAATTATATTTACCAATAATAATAAACCAAATAATTTCCCCCATATATTCCTCCAAACCACAACTTAACCATTTCTGCTTTCAAGACAATATACAATTAATAGTATCTCAATTATTACAATTCCCTAGTTAAATAGAGCTTTTTTTCTTTTGTGTTTTAAAATCTTGAACTCTCCTCTTTTGCCCTAAATTTCCCATTGTTTGCACCTACCTTTTTTGGTGAGGAAAAAGAAAAGAAATCTGCCTAATTTTCCAACGTTGCAACAACAGCAAAGTCAAACAGCCTGCTTTACTTTCTGTTTTGTTTTTCAGGATAGCTAGGGGGGAAAAAATCAGCACTCTTTGCAAGCAAGCAGCAGAGCCCTGAGCAAAACAGCTGAGAGCAAATCAGCTGAGAGTCGGGAGCCGATCTAAGCAAGGGCTAATTAGCCTATGCTGAAGCTCCGGGGGCCAATAAAATTACAAAAAAACACCAAACCCTTTGTTAAATTACTGGCTCGCCCGCCCCTCGCCCACCACTATTTATTGGCAATAAATAGTGGTGCGGAGGGGCGGGGCAAGGGGTGGGGCAACCCAGCAATTTAACAAAGGGTTCGGCTGAACCCCCTAGAACCGGCAGAATCCCACCACTGAATTTATTCTGTAAATACCACTGAATACATATAGATTCAGTTCCAGATTTCTGAGAACTACTGTAATTCCTTGTAGATTTTTGCAGATGGATCCATTTTTTATTTCACCTTGTCCCACATTCAGTTTAAACATTTCAGCTTTAACTCATCCTATTTATTAAGAAATCTGTCAATTCTTATTTAAATGGAGTTATTGCACCTCCTATACATATATTATTTCTAATGTCCAGTGGGTTTATATGAAAAATCTAGGCTGAACCTTAAAGAGAGTGGTATCTCAAATATTGCTAAAATCCTTTTTTTTCTGAAACCCTTTAAACCTGGATTGTCATGAAACATAGTTAAACAAAACAAAGTTGTGGATTTTTCCATTCATAATTGTAAATATATGTTATAATTTGTATAATTTTAAATATGTTGTTGGTCCAAGTATGGGACAAATCTTGAGCATTTTTCTTATGTGATTATTGGGAAAGGAGCAGAAAAAGTTCAACTGCACTTATTAGATTGTCCCTTCTATAATTTATGAATTCATGATTTAATTAGGGCATCCGTTGGAACCCTGACAGTCCTCTTGCCCAGTTTATGTAATTATATGTGAGGTGGGAGGATAGGGTATGGAAATCCTGAAATGAAAAGACCCTCTACATATTCCAGGCTCCCAATGTGATTGAAATCCCTTCTAAACATAACTATAAATAGTGCCAGTACTATACAAATTTTAAAATAGTCCCCAATTTATCTCTATCCCGTGGTATAATTGAAAACACTAAATCTGAAAATGTGTTTGTATATGGGTTTTAAGCTAAAGTGCAAATATTATATACATTAGCTATCTTTTAGAAGCCAAAAGTTAAATGCAAAATGCTTATATTCTGGTTCCCCTAATTAGTTGGTTTGTTGAAAAATCATTCTTGAGGTCCCTAGGATTGAGTACAAACCTTATTCTTCCCTTCAAAGGCTTTTTTTGAACCTTTTGCTTGCTTGTCCTCTCAAGTCAGCTTGCAATATCAATAAAAGCAAATAAAAAAGCAATAAAACAAAAAAGCAATAAAAGCAAAAGCTCACAACAAATGAATATATAATGCAATATAATACATGAAACAGAGCAGATAAAACCACAGCTTATTAGTGGTTAAGCATGCTTTTAAAAACCTGGGGAAATTGCAAGGGCTTTGTCTTCTGTTTAAACCATGATCATTTGAGTAAAAATATAATTTATGTCTTAAGCCAGAATTGGTTCCTGGATCTCTAGGAAGAGATGACAGAAATGCCTGGCCATCTGAAACCATAGTCCACATTTTCCTGTAAATTTTCTTATGTTATATTCCCACTCCTACCCCATATTTAATTAATTAATTAACCTGATCCTTGTCTCACTGAATCTGAGATGTTGGATATATGTCAATACATGCACTCATGAGATTTCAAAGTGTGTCACATTTTGTTTCTCAGACACTTGATTATATGAATTAGATCCTACCATTTTCCTGCCCATTGATGGTTGAACAGTTTATCATCCAGAAGTCAGCAACTCAACATATTCCATAACATGTGGTGATGAATGAATACAATTTATTTTGCCTTATTCTGAAATCAGAGCCATTTGCCAAAGAAATGGAAAAGTTCACCAATACTTCGGAAAATTTGTCAAAAGGTGGGCACTGATACTATTTGTAGACAAAAAAAAAAAAGAAATTCAGATAGAAAAGGGCTGCATTTCTTTGCTCGCAATAAATCTGCTTGGTGCTTTGTAACAATAGCAGTGATGAAACGGGGGGATGGATTAGCTTATCTATTTTGTTTCTTTGCTTTCTCTTTCATTCTTCCTACTCAAATGCCATAATGTGGAGTTCTGAAGGAGAAGACGATCTGAAAACCACTAAACCATACCTTTCAAAGATCCTGGAGGCCTGGGAACTACCAGAGGACCGGAAAAGTGCTGATGTGGCTTCCATCTTCCAAAAAAAAAAAAAAAAAAGAATCCAGGACCAATCAGCCTGACATCAATGTCTGGGAAGATTCTGGAAAAGATAATCAAGCAATGGATCCACAAACACCTAGAAACAAGAAAGCTATTACTAGAAGCCAGCATGGATATGTCAAAAATATATAATGCCAGATTCATTATTGCATTCTTTAACAAAATAACCAAATCAACGAATCAGCAAAATGTTGTGGACGTAATATACTTAGACTTCAGTAAGGCATTTGCAAACTAGACCACAACCTATTTTTTATAAGATTAAATTAATTGTGGGATAGACAGCATCACTAGA